CATGCAGAACAAAGTAGCATATATAGAGACGCATGAGTAGAACAGTTGCATCAGGGAAAACCCCCAGCACCAGCGAAAGCCTATTGACATCTAATTATTCATAATTAGCCTCACGTTGGGGCTTTAGGTTTTTAGATGTCTTTGAACCGACCTCCATAGATTATTGGCATTACCCTTAAATCGCGATAATTTATCTATGCCTTGGAAATGTTTATGCATGCAATAGATCCATAAACAAGCTCATAATGTTCTTTATTTTGCGACACCCAGAAAAAGCAGACAGATACATGCACTACTAGCCAACTACAGGTGCAGCCAACGACCCATCGGCATTCTCATGCACAGGTAGTACCGACTCGCCCAGCATAGCATCACTATCTCTATGCAAAGCTGGACCTGCATTCGCGCTGTTCTCCTCACGGAAGCCAAGCTTAAACCTTCCAATTAATGACTGCATAGCATTGTCACGGCCTTTGGTGTGAGAAAGAGCTGGACCATCGCTGTAGCATATCAGATCAGTGCTGAACCACAGACTCCACGCTAATACTATACGCACCAGACGTTGACGTAGAGGTTGTGCAAGGTGTGGTGGTATGCGGCGGGGCAGTTTGAAGCAAGCCAGTTAAGAGACTCCATCGCTGCCTTATAAACCTTCTCGGCCTTGGTCGTGCTGTAATCAGTCTTCTTATGTTCACTGCCTGACCACTCATCAAGGGCAAGGTGGATCTACAGAGTGTCAACACTCTTAGCGTTATCCAGCGCGCAGTATCAAGCATGAAACTAACTTACCGTGGCGCAAGCCAAAGCAACCATGTTTGGCAGCATCTCTTTTTTGTGCGGCTTCATGTACTCACTCGAGGTGAAGACCGCCTCCTTGTCCGTGGCTGCAGCTGGCTTTCCTTTGGTGCCTGCCATGAAGAAGGCATCTTTGATTATCTTCGTAAAGATGGGACGTTTGAACGGATGTTCGTTGTCCACACCCGCCTATCAAAGATTAGCACAGACGGTTAGAAAACACAGAGGTACATACCCTTAACATGACATCCCCAGGGAATGCCTACGCAAGGTCATCCTGCAGTGCCTTGACCCAGATCTTGCTAGCCTCCTCAGCTTTGGGTGTACCGGAGCTGAGGCCATACTCTGTTACCACAAGTGGCCCCACATCATCTGTGATAGAGGTACGCATTTGGATGTTCCGTGTGTCAGCTTGTGGTCGGTTCAAAGTGAGATCATGTTTTAGAGGGACTTAGGCCGTTCCATTTCAACAAATAACTTCGCGTACAGTATATCGGCTTCAAGGCATGCTGCAATTTCATTATAACTCAGCTTCTTAGCAAAAACAATAATGAGCTGCTGCTGCTCGTGAATACGAATGTCAGAGGGGTATATGCCTGAAAAACACTCAAGAAGTTAGAGGTCCAGCAAAGGTCAGAGAACAAAGGTCAGAGAACATGACGTACCATGATGGAATACCATATCTTCTGTTACGCAGGCAATAGCTGCATGACAGAACTTTCTTACGGTCTTGCTTTGCCAGTTGATGTTGATTCTACGCGTGCTGTTGTAGACAACTCAAGTTTCCAAATGGTAGTCAGACTCCCATGCGGTAAGGTTCTCTGTCGAGCATGGGCCAATGTGCTGGTTGGCAACGTCTTTGATCAGCTTGACACTATCCGACATGGTTGTCACTGTTGTTGTCGTGGTCTTCTTCCACTGCGGACGCTGTTTTTATGTCAGCAGAATGATCGAGAGTGCTCTTTAATCATCTGCACACCTCTTCTTCGCGCCTGCGCACTTGCTTCTCTTCGCGCTTGGTCATTGTGCGAGGCTTCTTAGAAGGCGCCTTGCTGGCATTTGACTGGTCTTTCCGCTTTGCAGGCATCTTCTTCGGCTTCTAGTAGATATTAGTCGACCTTTTCACCAAGCAGGTATGTAAGCAAAGACGTACCGCAGGTTCGTCAATGTCTGAGGCATCGACCAGGTTGTTGCCATTGCTAGACGGTGTTGGCGATTGAGAGGGAATAGTAGCAGATGTTGACAAAGCCTGACAACGCCTTGGCTTGATGATCTTCATGTTGTTGTCGCTGTTGCTATCATCTTCGTCTGAGCCTTCAGAAGCATCGCTAGAGCGAGCAATCTTTTGGGACTTGACCCACTGGGGTTTCTGGCTCGATCTCAGCCAAAACTGGCAGTATTTAGAAGCTCTATGTGCGCACCTCAGAACTCAAGTCAATATCTTCTTCAAAATCGTCTTCTTCATTGCTCTCAGATCCTGAGTCAGCAAACTCCAAGCCACTCTCTTCTGACTCCTCATGAGCAAATGGAGCATCTCTGTCATGAGAGCATAAGTTGAATCAGGACTGCAAATGGGTCGGCAAGACTTACAAATCTTGCTCGCTGCCCTGAGATGTCCGTGTCGTGTTGTTCTTCGCTGTGGCAGCCGCTTCCGCATTTCTGGACTGAAGTTGCCCTCTGATCTTCCAAAGTTCGGGCACAACAACCTTTTTAGGTGATAGCAAGGTTAGCTCTCCCTCTTGTCTGCCTTCGTTGTTGTCGTAGTGTTGCAAGAGACCGTGGGTCGCTTGCTGCTCGCTTTCAGACGGATTGGGCATGTCTGGACCCACAGCTAAATACACAAACCTGAAGTTTGTTTGGTTGCCTTTTGATGCTTC